CTTGGCATCTCTTCTTTCATTGCTCCTGAGACTTCCAGCATCATTATGAGCATCTACTGAAACACTGACCTCCTTCACTTCCGAGTGCTGGTTATTACTACCAAAACCATTGTTTCGAGCTGAGTCTGATGATGACCGAACAGATTTCACATGCCTTAATCTTTCATTTTTAAGGATATTTCCCTTTACTCCAAGATCCCCTCTGCCAGAAGCAAGCATATCAATTCCCAAGGAAATTTGGTTCAGGCTAGAATCTTGAGAAGAAACATCTACTGGTTCATCTCCAATATAATGCATTTCCCCGTCTAAGTTTTGTCTCCCTGGGCCATTTTCTTCTTTCTTTCTGTCCGACGCTTCCGAGGATTCCTCTTCATTGATTTGGGAATAACCAGCATTAGCAAAACCCAGCTTCTCCATTGATTTTGATGTACTTCTCTCAATTTTCTGTACATCATCAACTTTGGCAGGCAGCCCGCCATTTGAAATTTCATTGTGAACTTCATCAAGAAAATCTCCATTGCCATTGCTTATCGTATTGATTTGGGCCTCTTCATCTGTATTTTCGTTACCCGAGGATAAGGAGCAAGGAGCAGCAATACAGGCACTAACATTTGTCGAGACTGATATAGAACTAGCATTAGAATCGTTGGAAGAGGAAGCACGAGCATTTACTGGGCTCCCAAGTTCAGAATTTAAGTCCACTGATGACGAGCAAGATGAAGTCCTCTTTTGATTTTCACACGATACCATCTCGGGCACCATATTCGAAGATTCTTGCCCCAGCTTTGAAGATAAAGAATTTTCCTTATTACTCCCTCTAGCACCATTAACCCCGGTGACTCGTTTGTTCTGCAAGCCATCACATTAACAATTAAAGTACTTAGTCTCTAGTTCAATCTGTCAAAAGATATATTCGGTTTCCCTTCAGGATGATCTCATTTTCACACCCTGCTCGTATATAGGCATGGTGATCTACATGCAGATGTTATATTTGAGACTATACCATATCATTCAACCAGGAAGCACCGAAATCTAAAAGATCAAATGTTTCATTTTGTGAGGAAAAAAAATCTAGTGCATCTAGATTTTTCTCGGTTCTAATATGTTTAAGATCAGAGCAGAACGGAAAATAATAAACTATTTACTATATCAGGAATATATGATCACAAAATCGATTATAACAAGGTAATAACTGAAACTAAATGCATACCATATAAGCTGAGTGGTATAATTGGATCAAAATGAATAATAAAAAAAGGATAATGAAAAGAAACAATTAGTACCTCTTCATTTTGAGCAGAAAAACTGATATTCGAATCAAAATTAGAAGAAGTATTTAAAGACGAGTGCGAGGAGACGTCATCATCTGTGAAAGAAACAATTTCAGCTTCTTCAGCATATTCCTCGTTCATCAGAGCAGAAACAGATTCTCCACCATTTTTGTCCACAGAAACCTCTCTGGACAGACCCAGCCTGGACGAGGAGCCACTATGACCCTTATCAATTGCCTGGATTTTGATAAATAAAATAGGCTGAGCTATATTACTGAAGCTCCTCTTGCTGTTCATTGGAGCATTTACGCTTAAGCTCTCCTTGACAACACCATAGTCAGCCAAGTCTATGGTGGCAGTTGCTAACAATTGAATCTTATCTCTCCGAGGCTCGTACAAGTGGAATTCTAAGCAATTCTTTTGGAACACTTCACGACTCCTGCTTCTAACAGATGTGTCTCTAAACAAAGTCACAGGCAATCTAAACAACTCGTTGAATTCAATTTTTCCCTCACCAACAACAGATCCTATAGTAGGGACAACAGTGTTGGTAGAACCAGAATTTCGCTCACCATTTTCCCATTGAATCAGGACGGATCGAAGAGACCTCAAGGACTGTGATGGAGGCCAAGGTTTAATCTCCTGAATGTGGATCAAATAATCAACATGAACTGATGGACCTCTCTTGTTCTTGGCACTCAGACCCAGAACCATTTTTGCAGAAGCACTAATCTTCCAGAACTAAATGGTAGATTACACCTTCCAATTTCAAAATTTTCCTGTCACAAAAGCCTCAAACTTTAATAAGCCAGACAAATCCCAGAAGAATCTAACTCCCTAGAAAACTCTGGAGCAAAAAGATACGAAAATTACAAAACTGTAATCAAGATATAAAGAAATTTTCTGTTAGATTCCAGGGGGGGGGGAAAAGAAGAAACTGGAGAGAAACAAAAAGAAAAACAAGTTTCAAATTATCAATTTTCGAAAAGAGAGTCCCTCAAGTAAGTTTAACCCACCGCTTGCTCAGCCCAAGTTGAGATTCATGTCTTTCGTAAGATAGAAAAAATGAGGCAGAAAGCCTGCTTTTGTCCTCACCGTACTCTCATTTTCTTATCCACCAAACAGAGAGTTTCAGAAGGACAACATTCTGGTATATTGAAGACCAAACAAACAAAATACAACAATTTGGACATTCACTGGAAACTAAATCATTTTCCGTTTTCTAGCATCAGATCCAAACATTACAAGCAAAAATTAAGCAAAGCCATTAAATTTGTGCTAAGAAAATCTCAAACTCAAAGGATTCACTACAATGCATCACCAAAAATTATCCGGAAAAATATGAATAGTGAAAATAAAATATGAACTGAAAAGGGAATGAAGATTAGGAGAGGGATTGAGTACCAGC